GGATGATTCCGGGGACTCTCTGCTTTCCGACAGATACGTGGTGGTGTCGGGGACGCCGGAGAAGATTTTGGAGCATCTCCTCAGCGACCTGCACCTGGAAGCCGCCCAGGACAAAGAGACGGGTAAGGAGCGAGCCTGGCGGGGAGGCGTTGGCCGAGAATGGGGGAGAGATCCTGGTGCCGGTCCCGGTGCCGGCAGAACTGGACGGTGCGGGGGTCGCTCCCGGGCAGCCCCGGCCGAAATCCGGCTGCCAACTGGCTGAAAATGGGGAGGAAACTGTGAGAGGAGGGAAGGCGGAGCGGGCAGCCTGGGAGCAGCGATGCCAGCGATTAACGGAGCCGCTCGGGAACCCCGCAGGCTGAGCACCAACTTGAGCCCATTTTATATTCGGCTTTGGCAAGCTGCGGCGTGCGCTGTGCAGCACCCGTGTCTCTCCGGGCAGAGGCTGGCATTCTCCCTAGCCTGCAGCTACGATTCTATCGATCACTGTACTCGCCGTGCTCTTCAGCGTCCTGGCTAAACTACTCGTTTTGCCACCACCCCACTACTTGGGTACATCTTCGGTTTCATAAGCACGATGTATACGTTTCCTCATAACCCAGGGCACAGCAGATACACAAGTACAGCATCAGACTGTCTTCTACCAGAGATTGTAATTTGTTTCAGCCTAGAGCAATTATTATATCGATTGGGCTGCTTGACATGCAGTTTAATTTTCAGCTGAATCTCTTGGCTATCTGCACAGCTTGCTGTCACCAAAAACTCCTGGGGTAGTTTACCAGAAGTGCCCACTACCTGCGATTCATATATAGTTTTAATGAAAGCAGCCAGGCTGGTGAGACTTTCGGAGATCCCAGATACTGAAGAGCAGAGGAAGGCAGCTGGCTGTAAATGGAGCTGTGCATTTCATCACTCCCAATAGGGTTAAACCGCATCCTCCTGCTGCCTGTATATATCTCTCTCTACAAATGAGATTACTGAGAATAAACACACTTTAATCCTTTTAAGTGACTGAAAATATAAATAACATCTGTGATTCCCAGAGGAACGTCAGGATTGGGTTCTTAGAGCAAGTCATTAGTTTAATGTGGGACAATAGGTATATTCCTAGTGCTGATATGTGAATGCCCCGAAGAAACACACAGAATGTCTGCTGGTGATATTACTATGTTGCTCCTAGTGCTGCTTTTGTCTGTTTCGACATTAATATTTAGTGCAGAGAGACGCTGTGATTGTTTTCCTTCAACAGATGCCCTCAGACTAGTTCTGGGTGTAATTTACTTGAGCCAGCTCTTAGGCAGTGTAGCAAGGGGTCCTTCCTTGGCCCTTTAAGGTCAAATGTTAGATTCAGAGTAAGTTTCTCCATTAATGTTTATCATTTGCAGATTGAGGGACATTAGCTGCCTGTGTTTATAATTTGCTTCAGTTTGTTTTATTGTTTGTTTTTTTTTTAATCACAATCTTGCTGGAAAACAATGAGATTTTCACTAGTGTTTTACATTTAGTGTTTGTAAATACAGAGCACTCTGCACATAAAGGATTAGATGCTGTATACATCCTCACCTGTTCTACCTTTTCTTTTTTTCCTCTTTGCTCTCTCTCCCTCCCATCACCAGGAGGCTGTTCATAAGCCTGTTTTTATTGTTATAGAGAGGGCACGGTAAACTGCCCTCAAAACAAATGCTAAACCACTGCTTGCCTGGTTGTTAGCAGATGGTAAGGTATTTAAAGGTCGATTGGCTTCCCCTCACCTCTTCTGCCTTGTCCTGCTTCCTTTCAGAAAGAAACAATTAGATCTGCCCTGTAGCCAGGGTTAACAAGATCCCAGGGACAGAACAAAGTAGATGGGGCTTCAGTTTTTTGCCATCACAAAGAAGTGTGCCAAGCTTTGCCCAGTGGCCCTCCACTTCCCCAAGGGTAGTTAATCATGTACTGTTTTCTTCTGACTTTATTAACCTGGTAATATAGAATATCATCAAAATAAAAGGCTTTGGGAGTTATATTTCCCAATGTGTTATGTGGCAGATGCCCCTGGAATCGTTTTTATCAGTCTGTTTTGCAAAGTCAGTGGCGTTTGGCATGAGTAAGTATGGGATATTGAGTGTACATATATACATCGTTGTGTGTGCACCTGAAGGCATCCTTCAGCTGTCTGTGTTTTTGGATTTGCTGTTCTTTGTATTTTTTGTAGTTGCAGTCTGGCCCATCTCAGAGGATGGTAGAGTTGCAGAGTCCCACAAGCTTGTGTTTTAGCAGGCGCAGCTTTGCAGAACATAAAAGGATGATGTTGTTGTACCCAGCTGCTGCTCCTGCTGTCGGTTTGTCAGTTCCAGAATGACTTCTTTAGCTTCCTGTTTTCCCTGCAGCCCCCAACCCGGTTTGCTTATTTGTATCTGTAAAGAACATGAGAAAGAGTTATTTTTACATACCCTGGTGTACAGGAGGCTGTTGTTCTGTTTGACCCCTTGCACTGCTTCCCAAGAAGGGATGCTCTGCATGTTTTCATTCCCACCCTTTGTATAAAAGATCATAACTGCAATCCTCTGTGGTCATTAAAAAAAAATAAATTCACTATCTCCTGGGGCTTGCGCAGTCATGGAGCACCACTTTTTATGAACACTGACATAGCTGAATAATGCGCCATGTATTGCTCCCAGCCATCTTCCATTTTCTAGCCCAAGTCAGCGGGTACTGTTTTATAGCTGGGAGAATAAAGGGAAACTTTGAGGCTGGGCTGGAACAAATTTGCCTGGGGTCTAACTCAGGCCTCAAGGCTCCCCTCAGTTGATGCTAAACCTCTGTAGCAAGATACCTTAAGCACTCTGCTGCAGCAACATCTTCTATAAAAAATATGTGGGACACCGTTTCTGACCTGACCTGAAGAAGAGTCCCAGTGTCCATGATATGGCAGAACAGTTACAGCAATTGAGGACACTAAAGGGGACATTGCAGTGTACACAGCTGGACCAGTCTGTTGCTCTGATTACTTCTGTAGGCAAGGCCTTGAAAGCCTGAGGTCTGCAAGACTCTTTAAGCTTAGGTACTTAATAACAGTTTAATGACTGAGAGGTTTTTTTGTGATGACTAAGTCAGAGAGTATATGTGAGTTCTTGTGGCATCATAAACTGGGGCTTGCCGGTGACAATGTCTTGCCAGCCTTCTGGCCTAAAGGGAGAAAGTAAGTTTTTGTCTCACTGAGTTCCTATAACCTGTAATGTACCAACCTGCAAGAAGACTCTTCTTGTTTCCTACTGTGAGATGGCTGGAAATGTTAAATTTCTGTAATGAACAACTTTTCTGAGTCATCTCTAAGGCTGTTAGAATCACTGGGGGATGTCTGCTGAGTGTGTACTTTAGAGGGCAGTTTGAAGTTTTAAGAATTGAACAGAATAAGACACTTCTGTCAATATTCAGGCAGAAAATGCCAGTCGTACCTCCTGGGCTAGTCCTCATCAAGGACGGGGATTTGAACAAGTAATCTCCAAGAGGCCAAATCTTAGTATCTCAGGATCTCTAATCCCTTCCTATTGACTACAATGTTTCTTTCAAAATTGTTGCCCTCTTCTGCAAAAGCTTTTATTTCTAGGGCATTAGCAGTATTTCCTTCTCTGGATATTATCCTGATCTAGTCTTTAAAGTATCCTCTGGCTGGTCTCTATTCAAACTTGTCATTTTACCTCACAGTGGTTGCATTCAATGTTTTGCTGCCTCTGGAATGACACAGTGATCATCACATTGACCAGCACTTCTCTAGGCCTGCCTGGATCCCTCAGATCAGTTCCTTCATGCCACTGGGCCACCTCTCTCGGGCAGCTTAAGCAGACCATAATCTCCCTTATTACATCTGATGACACTGCATGTCTTTTACCTCCCTACTGTGGGATTCATTTTAGGGAATGAGTAGGGAGAAGAAGAGATTGATTTGTGAAGGTCTTTGAGAGCAAGAAGCAAGGGGAAATGGAGGTCTGGAGGAAGGATTGGTGGTAAATGAGGAATGGTATGATTGGAGCAACATGATGGTGTTGGTCTTAACTGATATATCTTTTTAGTGGACCAGGTGAAAAGAATGTCTGCTAGCCCTACCTCTTACAAGTCCTTTATAAGGAGTGATATGCTGACATTCTGAGGGATTTTATAAACTTTTCCCCAGAGTTTTAGAAAAACTTTGTAAACCAAGTGGGCTAAATGCATATTACTGCCATGCTTACAGGAGAGGAATAACAGTTTAGCAGAGTTAACATGCATGGAGCAACATCAATGTGAGAATAACAGAAACACTAAAATAATAATTTATCTCAGTGTTCGGTGTGAGAGAATCTGGGGAGGTTCTCGCACAGGACCATTGCTTCACATAGCCTGAGTCTAAGCTGTCTCAAATTGGAGTGTCAGTAGAAGTAGACTTAAAATAAATCAATAAAATGAATAGTAACAAATCACTGGGATCAGATGTTAATCCCCAAAGACTTCTAAAGGAACTCAGATATGAAATTGCTGAAGTCCTAACAGTGGTGTGTAATCTATCATATAAATCAGCTTCAGTGGCAGAGGAAGGTGGAGAATGTGATGCCAATTAAAAGAAATGGTTCTGTTTGGGCAACATCGAAGCAATAAGGTTGTCATTTTACCAATACATTATTCCAGCATAAGCTAGTGCTGTAGTCAAAAGCAGTGGCTCAGCCTCCCAGCCACTCATTCCTGC